TGTGTTAGGGTAGGAGGGCGTGCGCAGGGTCTGATACCCAGGATAAGCAAACAAGCCCAGGACAGCTGCTTGCTTTGGGAGACGAGGCCTCTTTGCTGACACTTGCTTGTGGGGTGACTTCAGAAGAAAGGTCAGCCATTCAGGGGCTGCAACCAGTTCTGAGGAGCATGATACTGGCCACCCCGCCTCCTCAAGGGACTGTGCAATTTGGTTTGTGTACTGTGTGTAAGGAAATGGTCCTCACAGACCAGCCTGTTTCTCTTTCTAGGTTCCATGAACTGGTTATTATATAGAATCAGGGACATAGAAAGGGAATGGACTGACTATTCTTGGGGGGAAAGGGGAGTGGGAGATGCGGCAAGAGACTGGACAAAAATCGTGCACCTATGGATGAGGACAGTGGGTGGGGAGTGAGGGCAGAGGGTGGGGCGGGAACTGGGAGGAGGGGAGTTATGGGGGGGAAAAAAGAGGAACAAATGTAATAATCTGAACAATAAAGATTTAATTAAAAAAAAAAAAAAGCAATCCCAACCAAAATCCCCAGTAATTTATTTTGTGGATATTGACAAACTGGTCTCAAGTTAATATGGAAAGACAAAAGATCCAGAACAGCTAACACAACATTGAAGGAGAACGATGTTGAAGAAGTGATGCTACCTGACTTCAAGAATACTATAAAGTTACAGTAATCAAGACATTTTTATAACTCTGGCAAAACACAGACATGAAATAAACAAAGACTAGGTTTTTAGAGGTCAAAGCAATCTGCTAAAGTTTACTCTTTAGGAAAAATTAAATGCTAACCTTTTAGAATAAATTATTTTATTTTAAAGTTTGGAATCCTATTTTTACTATAATGTTTCTCATTTGCAGGAGGAAAACAGATATCAGTGTTTCAAGCATAACTGGGGGAAAAGCAAACTGAATTATGATGAAATTAAAGTCTAAAAAAGAAACAAAAGGGTTATAAAAACTTTTCAGTTGATAAATCCCATTCCATAGAACAGTTTAACTTCTTTAGTAATCTAACCGTTCCTTAGAGCCCAGATTGTCTTTATATTGATTTACTATACAATGAAACAACAGTCTCAAGACCAAAAGGAGCTTTGATATATTGTTCTTATAATGAGGTTTTTACTAGTAACTACAATGTCAGAATTAAGTTTAAAAGCATTTTTTTCATATTTAACGTGTGAGATCTGTAGTATCTACAGCTTTGTTTTCTATTAAAGAACATTAAATTGAAAATTAAATTGAATGAGGGGGAGGGGAGCCAGAATAGCTATGGTCACTCCCTTAATAAATATATTCCAGTTGTGTATAACAGTTCTAGTGCTATTGTTAAATTTGTCCCTTAACCTTTTTGCAGCTATTCTAGGAAATGGAAAAGTGATTTTATACAGTCCTGTTGTCCTTCCCTCCTTATAATTATTCTTGATTATTTCTTGACTCTTTGGACCTTATATTTTACTTTTGACAAGAAACTAGAGTAATGATCCCAGAAGGAAAGCTAAAGAAGAAATCAAAATCTAGAAACATTTTCTCTTGCTTCATTTCCTATCTCCAATGAAACATCAACTAAAAGGATACAGAATATCCTGCAGTATATTATCTCTTAGCATTCCCCCTAACGTATGTTCACTCTCCAAAAAGTACATTTTCAAGAGGCATTGGCTATCCTGCAAGTATATTCCAATTTATTAGGTTTCTAAGGTAAGAAAAGCAACTGTTATATGAATTCCAAAAGTAGTAATACACAAAGCTGTAAAGTAATATCTACAGATACTTAGTTAATGAGGTAACAGATAAAGTTATGAATGTTCTGTACTCTTCTAAAATTAATTTGTCATGATAAAAAGTTGTAACTAACAGTAGTACTGTACAGGGTGAGGGAAAGTATAACCATTCAAAACACATGAAGAGAATGCTTTTTAAAAATACAGATATAAATGTTGATCATTACTCCACAACTATGCTTTTAACAATTTATGCCCATATATATTCTTACCCTTCTGGTTTTGTTTCCTGGACATTGCAGTTTCTTTTATCTCAAAAGATATAGAAGAAAAGTATTCTTTTGCCTTGTCTGGGTTCTGATTGTAGTTATCTCTGATTTAAAGGTAGGCAAGAGAAGTCTGTAGTTGGAGGTGTTAAGTACAAAATCCTGGTTATTTGAAATTCTGCTAACTGGTGAGCTCCTTTCTTTCTATTATCTTCTTGTCAGGAAATATCATTGCAGACATTCATGTCGCTCCAGGATGATTCTAGAGGGAGGAAAAATACACATAATTACAGTTATAGTAATAGCTATTTGTACAAAATTTCTGAAAGATATCCACAGGTTTTGTTTTGTATTTTTTCTAAACAAAACTAGTGATTAGAAGAAAAGTACTCTAAAAAATCTATATATATAAAAGCCTAATGTGCAAAGTGTCCCCTCAGGAGTTTGGCCAACCGGGAGTTCGATCGCTCGCTATAACATGCTCTGATCACCAGGGGGTGGTGTGGAATGAAGGAAGGCTCCAGCGGGCAGCCGGCAGCCAGGGAAGGGAGGCCCTGGCTGGCAGCCAGCAGCTGCTAGGGACCTACCTGTGCACGAATTTCTTGCACTGGGCCTCTAGTATGGCTATAAAAAGCAATGTTTTGCTCTTTTAGAAACTTTAATCTTAGAATCAAACCATCTTCTTATTTCAGGAAGCATGTTCTCTTAGTCATCTTATATTTTGTATCTATCTCAAAAATATTATCCCCATCTCTGCTTCACAAACTATTATCTCATCACTCCCTAAGATCTTTCTTGCTACCTGCTCTTCCTGTCCAAATCAAGGGTCTTTTTTCTTCCTCTAGAATTTCCTATTTCTAATCTCTCCTCAGGTTTCCCAGCTCAAATACAGTTGCAAAAAACTTGGGGCTGGGGGTGAATGGGAAGCACACAAAGGAATTTTATTTTATTTTTTAAAATATATTTTTATTGATTTCAGAAAGGAAGGGAGAGGGAGAGAGAGATGGAAACATCAATGATGAGAGAGAATCATTGATTAGCCCCACACTGGGGATCAAGCCCATAACCCAGGCATGTGCCCCAACTGGGAATCGAATCATGACCTCCTAGTTCATAGGTTAACGTTTAACCACTGAGCTACACCGGTTGGGCAAGATTTTTTTTTTAAAAGATTACACCAAGGCTGAGAACCAAGATGGCGGCATAGGTAAACACCGGAGACTGCTGCCGCAAACAACCACTTCAAAAATACAACTAAAAGACGGAACAGACATCACCCAGAAACACAGGAAAGCTGGCTGAGGAGAGACTCTTCAACTAGAAGGAAAGAGAACAGCAAACCGAGGCTCAGAGGAGGCGCAGTGTGGAAAATACAAAGGTACCGAGGTGCGCGCGCAAAGCGGGCTGGTGGCTGAGGGCGCGGTTGTCGTTTTCGGTCGGGAGTGAGTCTCAGACTCTGGGCTCCAGATCCGGGCGAGTCTCTAGGGACTCAGACGGGAGAAGCAGGATTGTCCGGCATCAGTTGGAATCTGAGGGCAGCTTTCTCTCCGGGGTTTGCAGCGGCTGCCGGGGTTCTGAGAAGCAGAGCCTCTGGGAACGGGACTGAGAGCAGCCATAACTGCTCCCTCCACCCGCCCTGTTGATCCCACCCCGCCCAAGCCCTGCGCAGAGCCATTTGCCGAATCGCCTCAGGCAAAGGCTAGATTAGCACCTCCCCAGAGGACAGAAGTTTTCCACACAGCTGATTCTCACAGCCAGTCAGCCTGGTGGTCAAATCCCTCTAGTATTAACTACAACAATCAAGGCTTAACTACAACAAGACTGCGCACAAAGACCACAAGGGGGTGCACCAAGAAAGCATAAAAAATGCGGAGACAAATAAACATGACAGAAATGGAGGATATAGAGCTAAAAAACGCAATTTTGAGGGCTTGCAAGAAACTTGAGGAGAGCCTCACAAAAACTAATGAGACCCTCGATGCTACGATAAAGAAACTAGAAATTAAGCATACACGGACTGAAATAAAGAATATTATACCCAATAGCAGACCAGAGGAGCGCAAGAATCAAGCCAAAGATTTGAAATTCAAAGAAGCAAAAAACACCCAACCAGAAAAGCAAAATGAAAAAAGAATCCGAAAATACGAAGATAGTGTAAGGAGCCTCTGGGACAGCTTCAAGCGCACTAATATCAGAATTATTGGGGTGCCAGAAGATGAGAGACAGCAAGATATTGAAAACCTATTTGAAGAAATAATGGCAGAAAACTTCCCCCACCTGGTGAAAGAAATGGACTTACAGGTCCAAGAAGTGCAGAGAACCCCAAACAAAAGGAATACAAAGAGGACCACACCAAGACACATCATAATTAAAATGCCAAGAGCAAAAGACAAAGAGAGAATCTTAAAAGCAGCAAGAGAAAGAGACTCAATTACCTACAAGGGAATACCCATACGACTGTCAGCTGATTTCTCAACAGAAACTTTGCAGGCCAGAAGGGAATGGCAAGAAATATTCAAAGTGCTGAATACCAAGAACCTACAACCAAGAGTACTTTATCCAGCAAAGCTATCATTCAGAATTGAAGGTCAGATAAAGAGCTTCACAGATAAGGAAAAGCTAAAGGAGTTCATCACCACTAAACCAGTATTATACGAAATGCTGAAAGGTATCCTTTAAGAAGAGGAAGAAGAAAAAGGTAAAGATACAAATTGTGAACAACAAACATGCATCTATCAACAAGTGAATCTAAGAATCAAGTGAATAAGTAATCTGATGTACAGAATGAACTGGTGATTATAATGAATCAGGGACATAGAAAGGGAATGGACAGACTATTCTTGCGGGGGAAAGGGGAAAGGGGAATGGGAGATTCGGGAAGAGACTGGACAAAAATCGTGCACCTATGGATGAGGACAGTGGGTGGGGAGTGAGGGCGGAGGGTGGGGCGGGAACTGGGAGGAGGGGAGTTATGGGGGGGGGAAAAAGAGGAACAAATGTAATCTGAACAATAAAGATTTAATTTAAAAAAAAAAAAGATTACACCAAGCATCTACACTAATAAAAGAGAAACATGGTAATTAGGGTACGACCGCTACCCTTCCCATTGGCTAATCAGCATATCCTTATGCAAATTAACTGTCAGCCAAGAGGGCGGCCGGCAGCCATGCACTAAAGCGAACAGGGAGGCTTGCTTGCTCCAGTGATGGCGAACTCCAACGTTCCCCGCCTGCCGCTGCCGGCCTCTCAGCTGCAACTCTAAGCAACTATGTTGCAAATATAGAAGCTAAACAAAACCCCAGAAACCGGCTTTCAGCCGGACCGCAACATTGTATCAAATACAGAAGGTAAAGGCCAGAAACCTGCTTTCAGCAGCGAGGCCTCAGAGCTAAAGCTGGCCCAGAATAGAAAAAGAAAAAAGAAAAAAAGGAGCAGTTGGGAGCTTCAGTCAGCTGCCAGCCTGAAAACGGCACTCAGCCCCTCACCCAGACTGGCCAGGCACCCCAGTGGGGACCCCCACCCTGATCCAGGACACCCTTCAGGGCAAACCAGCCAGCCCCCACCCGTGCACCAGGCCTCTATTCTATATAGTAAAAGGGTAATATGCCTCCCAGCACCGGGATCAGCGGAGCTTCGAGGCCTCCCGGCACCGGGATCAGCGTGACAGGGGGCAGCGCCCAAACCCCCTGATCGCCCTGCGGCTCTGTGTGTGACAGGGGGCGGGGCCACAACCTCCCTATCCGCCCTGCTCTGTTCGTGACAGGGGAAGGCGCCCCAACCCCCTGATCAGCCCTGCTCTGTGCGTGACAGGGGGGAGCTCCCCAACCCCCTGATCGGCCCTGCTCTGTGTGTGACAGGGTACGGAGCCCCAACCCCCCTGATGGGCCCTGCTCTGTGAGTGACAGGGGGCAGCGCCCCAAACCCCTGATCGGCCCTGCTCTGTGCGTGACAGGGTACGGAGCCCCAACCCCCCTGATGGGCCCTGCTCTGTGAGTGACGGGGCAGCGCCCCAACCCCCTGATCGGCCCTGCTCTGTGCGTGACAGGGGGTGGCACCGCAACCTCCCCATCGACCCTGCCTTGAGTGTGACCAGGGGCGGTGCCCCAACCTCCCAATCGGCTCTACCCTGAGCATGACTGAGGGTGGCATCGCAACCTCCCAATCAGCCTGCTCTGAGCCCGACCAGGGGCTGCACCTAGGGATTGGGCCTGCCCTCTGCCACCCAGGAGCA